TAATAAAAAAATGCCACATATGAAAATTATCCCACAATCATTTTTTTTTAAACAATACATTGTATAACATTATACTTAGCGGTGTGTATGTGCGCAGATGCACTTTTATATTTCAGTATTCCTTGGCGTAGGCTACAAATCATTTTTCAAATCAAAAAAAAAAAAAAGTATGCGGCGTTATATAAAAACTCTTGACTACATATATTATAGTTTATGTGTAACAAACGTTCATCCATTAATTATACCATTTTTCGATGAGGACATGCGGACGAGGGTCGAAAAGCATTTGTGTACCACAATAAGAGCTGTGTACAAAAGCATTCCCTTAATTAATGGTGATTAAACGCCGTTCTACCGATCCTGGATATGCTTTCGGCTCGACTTAACCCAACCTCTCTGTCTAAACTTGTGTTCATGAATTTTAAATTTTAAAATAAGCGAATCTCTGTTACCATATGAATTAATAACAATGCAGACAAACACAAGCGTACATTTTTACCCTAAACATTAAACAGAATGTTGCGTAATGCTCTCTGGAATGGTGGATTGATGGAATAATGATATTGAGCGACCTATTCGCAAACTTAAGTAAAATTCCAACAATTTTTGTATATACAAGCTCCAAGCCGCTGAAACAATTTTCCGAAAAACGTTTGATTTCCGAAGACAAAATTTGTAATAATTTCACTATTGATATAATGTAATTGAAAGCAACACCAATGATGGTTTTAAAATGTTCATTTTTGAAGTGAAAAGTTAATATGAAGTACTTCGTCTATCCTACCGAATACGATGTTCTAAAAACACAGATCGGAATCGAGGTCGAAGCAAACAGCAAACGAAAGGAACAAAATGACTTTTACATCTATGTACATATGTGTGTCCAATTTCAACTCAAATCTTCCCTTTCTTATCTAGGTTAGCTTAGTTGTTTCTCTTACTCTCATTCTTCAGCTTACTTTGTGAAATCATTTTAACGGTTTATGAATCAAATTTCAAAAAGTTTCACCTCAACTGCAAGAGAGCTGAGTCCAAAATTTCTATTTTCTAATTTTGCTCAACTCTTTTACGGAATCTAAATGGTAAACAAGCCCAATTCACGGCCGATGCTTAAAGAGAGCAAAACAATTTGATTTTTTTCAAAAACGAAGTTAGGAGCTTTTTATAATTTCCCTTTTCAATCGGAAGCGTACTCATTAAAGTTGAATTGCATTCGACAATTCCGCGGCCTGTCAGCTGTTTGTTCATTAATCTTATCACTTAACCATCAGTTGCTTTCATCGACCAGAAACGGGCATTTTATACACCCTGAGCCTTACAGACTTATTCAATAACAGAAGCAATTTTTGAGGATTTAATTTGTTAACCTTTCCCCCCTAAGCCTAATTGACCAACTGATTTGCTTTCTGAAAAGTGCTTTTCTGAAAGCAACCTTAGTTAAAACGAAAGGATGGACAGCGTATAGGATGTATGGAAAGGTTGCTTCTTTTTTAAGATACGGTTTATAAAGGATATAAGCGAACGTTGCGTGCTCTAGTTGGCATTTTAGACAATTAAAAAAATATATGTGAATGCTAGGGAAACTATCGTGTCAACTGATAGCATCGAAAAGAAGAAAAAAATTGATGCATCTGGTTAAGTGTGTAACTTTTCGTTCAGCAAGAGCGCGTAACGCGTAAATTGCTCTTGATTAGAGATAATATAATAAAACTATTAAACACTTAATAGGACGATGACCAGCGCAATTGATATTTCTTTTACTCGTGTCTATAGTGGACATATGCTATTACATAAAAAAATTGTTGATTTCCATTGAAATAATTAAATAATAAAATTTAGGTATGCGCACATACGCATATGGCATATGTCATATGTCATATATGTATATGAATGTATGTTTATATGTATGGATGTATATATGTATTTATTACATATA